CAGCAACATGACATTGACCACGTGTATTAAATCTGGATTTACTTCTAAGTGACTTTATTTTTATACAAAAGCTTTCTGAATGCCAGCTTGATGGCAAAGAAAGAAATCTACTTTTGTTCCATCTCTGCCTCTTCTTGACTATCCAGCCCCATCCCTACTTCATCCAATGATTTCTGTCTTTATTATTGTTGTATATATCTTTATGCTTTGTGCAAGAGGTATAGATGCTGCAAGCAGTTTGCAACCACCCGCTAAACATAAAAGTTGGCAGCTCAGACTAACTCAGTGACTCTATGAAAGAAAGACCTGGTAAATGCTTCCAAAAAGATAAAAGCCAAACCAAACCAAACAAACAAAAACACCACTGCTGTCAAGCCTGACTCACCATGAGTTCATAAAAACTATAGGCAAGGAAACCTCACGGAGCAGTTCTACTGTGTAGAACCTGGGGTCCTCAGGAGTTGGGGCCAACTCGACAACAACAGAATGATCTGTTGGCTGTGAAAAAAGCACGCAGACATTACACAACATGGGATATTCCAGGGCACATCTGTCACAAAAGGACAGACACTGCAAAGTACCACTGTTATAAAGCAGGTCTGACTTGGGGGGGTTGGGAGAATTGGATAAGAGTGGAATAGATAATGACCATTGCATTGGAACAGATGGAGGAAAGAACTGTCTAAAATGAATATATGATTAAGTATTACATGTATGATAACAGCCCAGAATATGAGATATATGATCACAAAGAGGACTGGAGGGTGGAGGGTGGGGGAAGGTAGGTAATTGTACAACAGTGAATTAATATTTTTAAAAAATTAGGAAATTGAACTGGGGCTGGGGTAAGGGAGTGCATGGGGTGGGGTAAAATGTGCAACAGTGAATGAATAAAAATCTAACTTCTCTGTAAATGTAAATGAGAAGAATGGGAATCCCAGAACATTTAATCGTGCTAATGTGAGACCTATACTTGGACCAAGAGGCAGTCATCAGAACAGAGCAGGGCAACACTGCATGGTTCAAAATTGGGAAGGGTGTATGCCAGGGATGTGTCCTATCTCCATACCTTTTCAACCTGTATGCAGAGCAGATTATCAGAGAGGCTGAGCTCTATGAAGAGAAGCGTGGCATTAGGATTGGTGGACGATCTATCAACAATCTGCATTATGCAGATGACACAACCCTGCTCCCTGAAACTGAAGAGGACCTCATGCACTTACTGCAGAGGGTCAAGGACTGCAGCCTTCAGTATGGACTGAGGCTCAATGTCAAGAAGACAAAGATTCTCACCACTGGACCAATTGGTAGCATCAGGATGGATGGCGAAGAGATTGAGATTGTTCACAGCTTCAGTTTGCTTGGCTCCACGGTCAACACTCTTGGCACCAGCAGCCAGGAAATGAAAAAACGTATTGCGATGGGAAAGTGCTGTTAGGGACCTCTCTAAAGTACTCAAGAGCAACAGTGCCTCTCTGGAGACTAAGGTGCACCTGATACAGGCCATGGTCTTTGCAATCACTTGTTATGCATCAGAGAGTTGGACAATGACAAGGGAGGACAGAAGGAGAATTGACACCTTTGAGCTGTGGTGCTGGAGAAGAGTATTGAATGTACCATGGACTGCCAAGAAAACAGATTCATCCTAGAGAGGGTTAAACCAGGCTACTCCTTGGAGGTAAGGATTCTGGGGCTTCGTCTGACATATTTTGGACATGTTGTAAGGAGAGACAGGTCCTTGAAGAGGGACATCAGGCTTGGTAGAGTGGAGGGACAGCGCAGAAGAGGAAGACCCTCTATGAGGTGGATTGATTCAGTGACTGGGGTAATTGGAATGGGTGTGTCAGAGGCAATGCGATTGGCACCGGATAGAGCAGGGTTTAGGGCTGTTGTACATAGGGTTGCTATGAATCGCAAACGACTCGACGGCACATAACAACAACAACAATAACAGCTCTGTAAATGTTAAAATCACAACTAAAATATTAAAAAAAAAAAGCAGACCCTGAAAGACTCTAGCTGGCATTAAAGTGTGTTTAGAATCAGAAATAATTTGAAAACTTTACCTAATACTTGTTGAAGGTATTCTAGTAGTAAAGTGTGTAATGTACTGGAGTATTTAAGCAAAAGGCTGGTCATTCCACTACCTGCTCCTTGGGGGAAAGATGAGCAGTCTCCAATGAATTGGGATCAACTTGATGGTGTGGGTTTATGGTTTTTTTTGTTGTTGTTGTTTATTTGTTCTTTTAAATCCTTACTGGGCATTTATTATAACCTGTTCATGTTTTTCACACTTGCTATTAAAATTATCCCCGTGTTGTAAGTCAGAAAAACAAATTGAGAAAAGTTAGATGGCTTGCCAAAGGGCACACAGCTAGGAAGTTGCAGAACCAGAATGCAAATACAGATCCCTCTGACTCCAGAGCCAATTCTTACCCATGCTGATCTACTCTGTGCCTCAGTAAGTTTAGAAGTCAGAGAACTGGAAGGAATAATATTAACAAAATAAACCTAACATAGGGCCAAGAAAATTGCTGACAAATAAGATGCATCTCATTCCTTCTCATGTTTAATGTCAATTTTTATATCTTGGCTAAGAGTGCCTATTATAAAGCTAGTTGCTCAAGGTTATCCTCCCCGTCCGTACTCCACCCCGTCATCAGATGATTTTTATTTATAGCTGTGTTTAAACATCAGAAGCAACACTAAGAGTCGCTATATACTGAAATTGCCATCTGAGCAAAGATTCTTTCTCAAAGCATATTTGTTTTATTCACTTTCTGGTTTTTGCCAAGAAATTAAAAGAACAATTCTTTTTGGTTTGCTTTTCAATTTTTGTTCCAAGTGTTCCTTATCTCTAGAATTGAGTCAGATCAAATTAGTTAAGAGCTAAATTCTTTAAGCTAAATTGTCAAATCCATGGGTTATTTGGAGCACTAGAGAGTAAGAAATCATCCCAAATTTCTTTTAAGGGACAAGATAACACTTTCTTATAAAGGAAAAGATATTTGGGTTAATTTAGTTCTGTATTGTTTATACTCATGTATTCTTTACTTCATTGCCTGAATGCTAATGAATGCTTCCTAGAATTCATTCCTTAAGAAGTTATGTCATGGCATCTAATTATTTGGCAGGATGTTTTGAGTACATGTAATTATATCTTCCCTCCATTCTGTGGTGGTGGTGGTGATGAGCCAAGTCAAAGAGAAAATAACACAATGATGCTACCAGCAAGGAGTTTAAAGTGCTTTGGGAAAACTCAGTTCCAATCTTAGCAAACAGAGTGCTCAATACTTTATTAGTCAATCACACCAACATCACCACCAAGCTTCTCCATAAGAGAAACCATTAGAGGGAAACTGCATTGATTCTGGTACTTATTTCAATGCTTGAAGGTCAGTTGTGTGGCTGTGGCCAAGACCTTGCACAGGACTGAACGAAGTTGTCAGTCCTGATCACTAACTTGAGTGGAGCCACTTCTCCTTTCTAGGTAGCCAACTGTTTCTTGTTCTATCAGATTGGACCAGGGGTAAAGAATAAAGGGGTGGGTGAAAGTATATTCACACTGGGCATAACTTTACAGTAATTCCACATGGTTTTAACTCATTCCTCTATTATTTGGGGATGTTAATTGCAAAATGGGGTAAAGATTTAGGCTAAAAGTATTCCCTCTCTCACCCCCAATTTGGTAGATTAAATAAGCGATAAGCATCTGGGGAGTAGATTTGTTGGACTTTCTTCTGGCCCATAGTAGTGGGAGGTACAAAGAGAAAGCAGGATTTCAATTTCCAGCACGAGGAGACCAAGCCAGTCGGCCTCGTCAAACAGGTTGTCTTTGATGAAAGAGGATTTTCAGTCCTGGCATTAGCAGATAAGGGCGTCTAGGGCCTTCTCCTTTTTATTGGTCAGGATCAGGCTCTCTGAGCCGCCAGAAATAAAGTACCTCGTTGCTTAGCCTGGCTCAGTAATCGCGGTAAGGGGCCCAGATGATTATAGGCTATTTTCTGCTGTTGTCTAGTCCTTTGTGGTTGAATTGACTTCGTAAAGCTACTACTTCTCAGATCCCAGAAGCATTATAATTCTCTTTTATCCCCAAACCACTTTAAATTACTATTGATAGGTGAACACAAGCTTTGCGAAGGTAGGGTACTTCGGTTTGACTCCTTTATCTCCCGTCTGTCTGCTCTACGGAATCTGAATGCAAGGACAGTGGAATGTGGAAATGTGTTACAAACTTCTAAGAGATTTCTAACCAAACTAAAGTCTGATGCTAGGGTATCTGAGTATTCTTCATAAAGTGCGCTTCTACCACCGCCTGAAGATGGTCAGGATTAGCACGCCCCTCTAGAAAGGAAGCCAGGGCATATAGGTGCTGGGCAGGCCTCTCATCTCTGGGAAAGCTGGAGTCGGAAGAAGCAGCACACCTGGGGCAGGTGACAATGGGCGGGGCAGTATTGCAGAAAGAGAAGCCCCAAGCCTTGGCGTCTGCTCCCAACGAGACACCGAGGCCCAGGGACAGGTGTAGCCAGGGGAGTCAGGTGCACCGCACAGGCACTCCCTCGGCAGGTATACCCTCCTCCGCCTACGAGTGACCTAATTACAAGGGGCACGCCGCGCCCAAGGGCGGCGTGGTCACTCCAACCCGGGCACCACTCTGCGCCCTGTCCCCGGCCCCAAAATTCGAGAATCTCATGTAATTCCAGCGCCGTCGCACCACAGAGGAGCCACGGGGTCGTATTCTTTTTCAGTGATTTTATTGCCAAGCTCGAGGTGAAAAGCGCTTTATCAGTCAGCCTATCTAAGAGCAAAGTCTCAGACAGCGAGCAGGAACCGCCCGCCAGGACTACGCTTGCGTATGGCTGGCAACTCTCTAGGTTTAATAATCCCCAGTCGTAACTAAAAGCACTACGCTTGCGCAGCTTAGGGTGGTTTCTTTTTGGGGGGCCCTTCCACCCGAACCCCCCCTCCTTAAAGACCACGCCCTAAAAGGGACGGTGCCTGTTACTAGCCGGCTAGATGCGCCTGCGCCGTGGCCCTTAGTTTCCGCCCCCGCCCCCACTCGCTTCTTGCGGTCGGCGAGTATCTGATCTGCGGCTGCGCAGCTCGGGTCCCGGCACTTTTTTCCCTCTACACCCCACCGCCTCCTGACGCCGGGCGTGACGTCACCACGCCGAGCAGCCGCCATTACAGAGACCCGAGCTCCGGAGCGAGAGCGAACGGAGGAGGACGTGCAGCGGCCGGTGGCCGAGCACTGCGGAGGCACCCGGTGGGCCAGGGCTAGCGCCGAGCAACCCCCAGTAGCCACCGTAGTACCCCGAGAACCAGCGGCGGCGTGTGCGTGTGGCCCGTGTGCGGGCGGCGGCGCGGGAGGAGCGCGGAGAGGCAGCCGGTTCGGGCGGGTGGCATCATGGACGAGAAGGTGTTCACGAAAGAGCTGGACCAGTGGATCGAGCAGCTGAACGAGTGCAAGCAGCTGTCCGAGTCCCAGGTCAAGAGCCTCTGCGAGAAGGTGAGCTGCATTCCAGCTTCGGGAGCCGCCGGGGGCCCGATCTCGCCGAGAAGGGGTGGCTGTGGGGAGGGTGCAATATGGCGGAGGCCGGCGGCCCGAGCCCCCGGAGTCTCCCCGTCCGTCCGGCGCGGCCCGGCGGCGGCTCCCGAGCGACCCGGCGCCCCCTGCCTCCCGCGCGTGGATTGGCTGTCGCCGCCGCCGCCTAAAATGGCGCCGTTTCCCTCGCTCGGGGGCTTCGGGGCTCAGCCTCGGCCCGGGGCTGGGTGTCGGGGAGCGGGGACCCCGGGTACCGGGGGCGCATCCGTCTTGACATCCGGGTAAAGGGACGTGGGATTTGCTGCCCGGAAATGGAACCTAGGCCTGCCTTGTAAGGGGGGGTGCGCGCTTTATTTGCGTGCAAGCACAATTCTTGGAGCCAGCCTTGTCCAGAGAATCCCCAAAGGCGAGCTCGGGGCCCAGATCCCAGGACCCGTCTAAAGGTCACGGACCCTTCGCGCTGGGTACTTTGCATGCAGCTCATCAAGCGATCTTCTAAGGAGACCTGTGCCAGTGGTCGTTTTGGAAACATTTTAAGTGAACTGCCCTAGCCCAGTTTCTACGAAGGTCATGGTAGTTAGGAGGAGTAACTCATTCTACATAGTTGGAAGAAATGGAGAATTTGGTGAGTCACACACTACAGAAGGAGCTATTGGATTGGAAATCAAGTGTTGGCTTAATTTATGATGTATACGCTGACTCAAATTAGGTAGTGTAAAACTCTCAGTTTAACGTACTGGGCATTTTGCCATATATTTTTTAAAATTATAAAACTGGAAGGGCAACAAGGATGGATGGTATCCTGAATAAGTTACATGTTTGTATTTCTTTGGCTTCGAGTAGTAGTCATAGCTGGTTGGGCGGTTATTGTATTTCAGATACTGCTTACTGTGTATATAATTTATTGACAAGTACTGGAAGTGAAAGATTGTCTAACTGATATCTGTTTTGTTTTTCCTTGGATGCTTGGGAACGTAGCCCAATAGATTAGCTATTGTCTAATATGTTGTATGTATTTTTAAAGTCTTGTAAATTGTTTTTTTTTAATTTTATTTTATTAATTTTAATGAACAGTTACCAAGATTTTGAATTTCCATTCATTCATTTTTGCACTTTTCTCGCTGCCCACCCCTCCCCCTTGTTTTTTTAAATGTATAGACAGTTTTTATCTCCGTGAACATTTTAATTTCTCTTAAAAATTAAGAGAATCCTGATGACAGGGTGGTTAAGAGGGCAGCTGCTGACTGGAAGCTCTGTGAGTCTAACCCATGGGCAAAGGATGTGGCAGTCTTCTCATGTAAAGATTACAGCCTCAGAAACTTATGTTTCATTCTATAAGGTCACTGAGTCAATATCATTTTGACAGTGGGCATGGTTTTGATTTCAAAGTTACCTGTGCAACATTTACTTTTATTACAGAATTTAGGATGTCATATTAATGTTTTGTATTGATGAAAAGAGTTATTGGAGAGCTTTTATAACGTGTTTGAAGTTTCATGTGGAAATTAAGACCATGAGTTTAATGTATATGCACACATGGTAGACTTTAAAGACTGCTGTGGATAATTGGAATTTAAGTGAGTCAAAAGATTTTTTTTATCCCAAGCCTAGACGAAACTCCACTACTAGTTGTTGAAGTAGTAGTCTTTAGTTAGAGTTGAATTTTAATGAGTAAGATGAATATCTTGCCTCATGGTTCTTAATTTTAAAATCTTGAATTTTAAAAATTTAAAGCTGGGCTTTTAAAACTTTAGCCTGTGTTGCCGTATCTGCTCAATCTCATTACTGTCAAGTCACAACTGACTCAGAGCTGACCTACTGTTGGGTTTCTAAGGCTGTAAATTGTACACGAGGTTACCCATCTTTCTACCTTGGACCTACCAGTGGATTCAAGCCACCAGCCTTGGTGTTAGCAGTGCCGCTCGCTACAGACTGCCACCAGAGCACCAGATCTACTAGTTACTGTGAACTTATTGTGAACTTTCAGGATTTAGTACTTGTTATATATAAAGATTTTGCTAGACGACTGGTCATTTGTGTAGAATATTTTGGAGCGAGGCAGTGATGTAAATGAAAAACCACAGAAATGAGAGTCAGACCTAAGAGTTCTGTCATAAATCAGCCAGGATTGACCTTGGAGCAGTCATGTCAGTTGACCCTCAGTTTCTTTTGTATAGAGTTAAAACAGATGTCCTAAGCACCTTTTTAATCTTCTGAGATCATACAGTTTTGTCAGTTAATACTTTTCTGTTTTAGTAGTGAAGATGTATTGAATATCCAGGATTGTTCCTTTTTTATTAGAAAAATGAAAGGCAGTGGCAGATATTAACTTCTCTTGTTAGGAATATTTCATCCAGTTGAAGAAGCCAGTATGGAAATCAGTTAGGAGATGGACCTTGGAAGTAAAAGTGTTTGTGTCGGAAAACAAAGTGTAGTACTGAGTGTTGTTTTCCACATCTTTTTAAAAAGAACATACAGTGAGATTTATCACTCATTTAGATTTTTCATTACTGAATTCAGATTTTATTTCTGTGAGCTAAGAAGTTGGATTTACTATTTGAGAATAAATATGAAAGTTTCCATGGAATATTTTTGGGGAAGTATCCTTCTCTCAGTTATCATACTGTTTTAACTTTAAATTCAACAACCTTTTGCAGCTATGTTGATTTTCCAAAATAAGTTAATTTGAAGACAGGTTTTTTCCCATATATGGAGTGAGGCAGAATGAATGCATGACTTGAAATGGTCCATTATAGACTTTAGTAACACAAATATTGTCGTTTCGCTGTTAATAACTATATTGCCTGCTACTATAGTGTCACTTTGGTTTGACACCATCTAAAATTGTATTTTTTTAAATCCTGAAGGTTTAAATTTTTTCATTGTAACAAGTGAATAAAGTGGAACTTTTACAATAGAACTATTTTACAGTCGTCCATACTTGTATTATAACGAGGTTTGCTGATTTAACGTAAAACCTATTTTATATTCTCCTGAAAATAGTTGAGGTAAGAGTATGCCATAGTAGTCCTTGTTTCTTTAAAAAAAAAAAATTTAAAAATGCTGAGGTCATTATTATAGTATTTCATTAAGAATTAACAGTGATAGATGTTTGAAATGGAGAAAATCCACATGTGTATGTATAAACAAGAGTGAGTGTTTTTATGATATTGAATAATTTCTTAAGCTATAATTAAGGCTTATGTTGAAATGAAGGTTATACTGTATGCAATAAGCCTTATTAGCATTTTAGGGTTCATCATCTTTTTATTGCTTAAAAACATGATGAGTTGAGTGTCCTTTTGTCTCAGGAATGGTTCTATAGTCAGTATTTCTCTATCAGTAGTCTGCTGGTTCCATCTGTTGATTGGAAGAAGTAAATAGTGTCAACTTATTTTGAGTTAATTACAGTGGATAATAAACAGTCTTGTACAGCTTTCAAATCTTTCCAAACTTGTAGAGAATGTTGTTTGAAAGCCAGGGGTTTTTTTCCAAAGGAGTTCTTTAGCTAGGTATGTTCTTTTCCATTGCTCAAAAGCTCTATAAATAAAATGTGTCATTAAGGCTTTACTTAGTTTTAACATTTGTTCTGTGAGTATGGAAAAGCAGACGGCTCCTTAATTAGATGAGCTTGAAAACTTATTTTGACCAAGATTAAGTTCCTATGGGGGGGGGGGGCGAGCTGAGGAGGAACAGAAAGGACATTTTATAAAATACTTTCACATACATAATTCTCAAATCAAGTTTATTAGCTATTTATTGTTTTCTGTATTAAATTGAATCTTGAGTCTCAGAATGGTAAAGTGACGTTAGTGGCTAAACTTGAGTTTCCCTAGGCTCAGTTCTGAGCATAGTGTTGTAGTCATACTTCATATTCTCCTCTGAAGTAATGTTAGTCCTGAACAGTGCAGGTAAACTGGAGCTGGACTGAGCTGTGGAATCAACAATTCTATAAAATGAAACACTATTTTTATCCTTACTGCTTTTGAGAGCTTCCTACACATGTCACATAAAAGGTTCCTGCTCATCCTCCACTTTATCTTGGAGGAAACTGTAGTTATTTTTTTCCCTTCTAATATGAAGGTGGCTAACAACATTATATCTCCAGTAATATTGGTGAGATGAATAGTCCAGTTCATTTTCAGTAGATTCTTAAGTGACTTTTACTCCTCTGTCTTCCTTCATATCTTCCATAGTCAAACCTGTTTGTGTGTATGTTATTATTTTTTTAATCTTCAAGGTGTAAAGCAGTAATGCTTTTGGTTTTGGATGGAATTAATGAGAAAACAAAAAAAGATGAGCAGTCTTACCATTTCAGATTCACCCTTCTTTGTTTTCTCCCTCAAAGCCAAGAGTTCTGTATCTGAAAGAAGTATAATGAGACCAAGATGAAATGCATGCTAAAGAAAGGATAATGAAAGAAGAGTAGGGGGGGGGGAGTTTGCACGGGTGAATATATGAATGTATGTATGGGATACTATTTGTTACTAGTTATATATATTTTTTGTTAACTATTTGTTAGGAATTGGATGAATAACTGCCTTCCTTTCCCCTCTCACCCTTTGTGGCGGCAAGGAATTGCTGCCACCCAAAGGCATGCAATGTTTGAATCCACCAGCTGCTGCTCCATGAGAGGAAGATGGGCAGTCCCCCTTGGTCTTACTAACTGCCTCTGAAATCCTACTTGAGGGTCAGCTGTCATTGACTCAGTGGTACACAACAATGACAACAACATTGTTAAAATGTTGGAGTTACCTGCTGGGATAGCATTAGTTTTGAGATGTGATAAACCAGGGAAACTAGAGAGTATTGGATTTGGTTGAGATTATGGTGAGAGTTCTTTTGAGGATACAATGAAAGAAAAAGTTGTGTGTGACAGGAGCTTTTTCTTTTATTTCTACTTTTGACCTATTTATCTTCTTTCTACTGTAACTTTTTAGCTTAGTCATTCATTTGTTACTGCC